TTTTGATTTCAACCAATCAGCGCCGACGCAAATGACGTCATACACGACAACAGCTAAACTAAGCCAGCCGAGACGACACTCGAAGTCGGACGGACACGATTTTCTGCCAATCTGTGTTTTTCCCTTTTTGGCCAAATATATATTTTACGACAACTGTCTTGTTGACGGCCTCTTTTATTCTTTCCACTGGGGTTTAGCGGGTGTGTTTATAAAGAGACGAAAATTGTTTGGGGACTATCCCCCACGTTCTAGTTGAGATGGTATAACCCAAGAGGCAAAATGACGCTTGCTACTGTTGTTGCAAGTTGCCATTCGTTCTACTAAACCATAAGTCAAACGCCATCATGTCTTCTGTTGTGATTACACAAACAAAAATCTCTTTACTGTTACTAGTGTTCGTGCCTCAATATGGCTACGCTCGTGAAAGCAATACAACGAACTCAAGCGCGTCTTCGTTCAATGTTGTCAACTAATATCCGGATTAATTTTATGCAAATTTTCCTCAATTCTCCGGAGAAATTTTCATAAAAATTTGAAAAACCCGGAATTCCGGGAAAATCCGGAGGACTTTCATCTCTGAATTATTTACTGTAAAAGACATCTCGGGGAGCAAAAAGGCTGGAACATACAGTTGGGCTGCAAAAAGCACTTTTGTGAGGTCAGGTGCACATTTTCTACATGTTTGTTAAGCTTGCCTGTTTCCTCCTGAGATTTTAATGATTGAGTGCACATGTGACAATGTGCATTAAGCAGTGACGTTGCGACGTCATCTCTCCGTCCATCTCCAGTCTCCAGGCACAAACATTCAAACCTAAAATAATAATAACTTTGACATTTGTATAACGGTTGCGTTGAGTGTAAATCGATTAGTCATGCCGAGAGTGGAGCACTCAGCTGCTACATTCGTAAGCAGGTGAGTTAACCCTACATGAATGATGCCAGCAAGCACTGCGTTCATGTTCATTAGTAAAACCTCACTCCTCGGAGCCTTCAAAGTCACTGACTTGGCGGCCCGTGCTCCCAAGACAGTGACGTGGAGGCGCGGTTTCATAAGCCAGTTGGGGCCGGGACAGCGGAGTCGCTGCTAAACACATACTGATCCCACACATCAAAACAACATATGATAAATAATGTATAAAAACTACATGGTTACATGGCACATACATTTTTATATAATACTATGTATTGTGTTGTAATATCATCACACAGTACGACATTGGCACAAGAAGAAGTCACAGGTGCCTCTCGCGCTTGACAAAGCAGTGGGGTGAGGCTACCCACTTTTGATTGGGAACATGCATCTTGGACGAACATATAAATTTGATTGGTACTGTTGTTAAAACAAGATCAGAGAGGTGAGAAGGTACAATATAACGATCATATAGTGTAAATCAATCGAAAACTAATTCTCCAAGGGTAATTCTCCAAGGGTAAATTCTCCAAGACCATGATCAAAATGGTTAAGGGTGAAGCTTAACGATATTACATTTTTTTAAAAATTCACCCCCAGGGCCAGTTTGGTACTGAGGCTTGGTACCCAACCCTAATTGCAACATATTTAAAAAAAAACTACAGTGAACTTATTGTGAATTTTTTTATTAACTTAACAACAGTAGTTCATTTTTAAATTTGTGAACTGAACTAGTGAAGAAAAGAAACTTTCCCATCACTGTTCATGATGTGATGACACTGATCATCGCAATGATTCTTGGAGCTAAGGTGCGTGGTGGTCAACTAGGGCATAGAGGTCTGAGGTGAGCGACCATAGAAAGCCAGTGACCTCCTATTAATGATTAATGGAGCAGGATATGGACAACTGGATTGGTGCTGCATGCGCAGTGATGCAGACATGCACTCGCTTTACCGGTTGATCGACCCGCAGGTTGTGACCGAAAGAAGAATGTGGACCTACAGTAATTGGCCAAAATTTGTTTCTTTCACAGGGTGGACACCCTGGAAGAACTGAACCAAGTGGCTCGGGAGAGGGAAGTCTGTGCTTTTCAGGCCCAGCAACCCAGCCTCAGATAAACACAATGGGTGGATAATAATAAAAATTCACAATACAATTTTAAGGCACTTATTTTCAATTCAACTCCTTCTAAACACAAGAAGGTGTAGAATTCTCCATTGACCTATTAATGAAGAGCAGTGACCTAGCTTCACTTGTTTACAGTACCTGTGCAGAAGCTAAACTTGCTTGTTAAGGTTAAGCTTCTAGCTCAGTGGTTCTTAACCTGGGTTCGATTGAACCCTAGGGGTTCAACGGAGCCTCTGCCATGGAGGTTAAGACACACCCGACTCAACAAGTCAATTAGTTATGACACGCCCGCCTGGCCATCACTGGCTGCAGATGATTGCTTGTCCAATCAATGCTGTGGGAAATTTAGTTCGCTCAGTTGTCAAAGTGTGACTGTCGCGATAGTACATCATGCACGGTTCATTTTGTGCACAATTAACAACTTATATTTATGTCTTGAAATGTTATTTACTTTTTTCACTTTTTAATCAATGCGTTTTTTGTGTTGAATTTTTTTTTTTTTTTTAAATCCCATTTTTATTTTTCACTAATGAAGGGTTCGATGAATGTGCATATGAACTGGTTGGGTTCAGTACCTATAAAAAGGTTAAGAACCACTGTTCTAGCTTTTTCTAGATTTGACAAATATCTTCTTTGGAAGATAAATTTAAGTTCATTTGCCGTGTGCTTTATTTCAAAAGGTGTCACTCACTTGTCCCACCCAAGAGTTTCCATTTCCAAGATGAGTTGGGAGTAGTATTGTGGAGGCGGAATAGAGTAGCACTTAGGAAGTTTTTTTAGGCACACTTCCTACAATGACAGAGACAAAAATGACACCAGATTACAAAGCACATAACAATTCATCTCATTGCATAATTGATTCTCAAATAAAAACAAACAAAAACACAGATATGGCCAAACTGAGTAAAATCCATGGCAAACACGTACCCGTGTATAACATGCCATTCCAAAATCACCCTTAAAAAAAAAAATAATAATAATAATGATAATCTTCTGTACTTGTGTATTCTATGGCTCCCTGATTTTCAGGCATCCTTTATGACACTAACATTTTTTGAGGAAGTGCCAAAGATGTTTTAATGATTTCTGAGTAATTTGGGGCTGCTGAGTTTTAGATATTGATGTTTGACGGTTAATTGATTGGTAATTCATTTGGAGATATCAATAATGCACCTCGTTTACGCTGTAATAAACTTGAAACAAACTTGTTGTTTATCGCTAATTTTGCCAAACTTTTTTTTGAAATTGCAGATTTTTTGCTTGATTTTTACGTGAAACGTGATTTGCATATCAAAGGCTCTCTGTTCTAACATGCGTGAAAGGACAGAGACAAGAGAACACTAATGTCAAAAGCACTTTTGTTCAACAAAAACATTGAAAATCTCAAAAACTAGAGCCAATTTGGAAAAGCCAATGTCATTTTCGGATTGATTAGATTCATCTAAATATCATTGAACCATTAAAACTTTCTTCGCACCAAAATGTTTGTTGACCAGCATTATATATAATATGAATGAATAACGATTCAAAACATACCAATAAAGTGTAAATGCTTTTAAAAGCAGGTTAAGAACTATGCTCTTTTCCCATACCAATAATTAAGGTCTTTCAACTTTTTTTTCCATGTACTCTAAATGATGAACAACCAACTGATTTTCATTTTTAGATAATCATCATTTTTTTCCTGAAATTTCAACTCATGTCTGAATGCAAAAGTATAGAGAGCTGTTTTTTTTTCCTCCAAGGTCTGGACTCTGTACTCAATTGTACTTTCTTCTCAGTTAAGTGATCTAGATGCTGTAATTTATTTGTTTTAAACGTCTTGAGTTATTTTATTTTTAAATGTTGGAAAGCATGAAGAATTCTTGCTGCTGCTGGCTTGACCAGTTTTGTCCACTGTGTGCACCTTTTTGAGACCAGGTACATATTACGGTACATACATTTGTAACATTAGAGATTACATATGTTGGAATTAAAGTATGCCTTTTTTTGTTTGTTTTTGTAACAACACCTAGGTACCAGTAAAGGTCTGCAAAATGTATATATTTTTTAATTTTATTAATATTGTGGGACGATTTTGTATTGAAAAATGCAGATCCTCCCACCCCCTCCAGGCCACCCCGACAGCACTGGGCAGCCCCTTCAGCCAGAGACTGATACACCCACGCTGCAAGAAGGTCCCGCCCGACTGCTCTCAGGCTATTGAATAGACCAGGGGTGTCAAACTCATTTCACATGGTGGGCCAAATACGGCCTCGGTAGATGTCAAGTGGGCCGGACCATTAAAATGATACCATACTTTGCTATAAATAACAAAAACAATATGTCTTTCCTTTGTTTTGGTATAAAGAAGCACAAGAACATGAGGAAAATGTTGAAATTTAATGAACATATCTTTTACAAAACATTTCAGGAAGTATCTTACATTTCCTTCGACAAATGTGCAATTTACTTTTATCATTTACAAATATGTATTGCAACTGATCCCACTGATTGTACAAACTTTAACAAGTAATTGGTATTGAAAAATATAGTAATGCACTTTAAGATTAAATGAGATTTATAAAGAAAGTAAGTTTTAAACCATTTACACGTGCATATAAAATCTAAATGTAATCCTTGCCTACACCTTTGAAACTAAGGAGAGCGCTATTAAATGTGTAACTGAGAGTGCTATTGATAGCGTCTGCTGTCATGGGTCTGTCTCAGTGACAGACTGAGGCTGCTGTTGTCTTCTTCTCTGATCAAAACAGTGTCCCCTTGCGGATACTCAATGAATTGCACCTGATGACACCACTGGAATAGACGGTCCTGAAAACCTGGACTCACTCATTTTTAATATGCTTATATTTATATGTTATATTTATTTATTACTTTTTGTCTTCTACTTTCTCCTTTTCATAATTTTGCTGCTGTAATTTGGGAATTTCTCCATTGTGAGACAAATAAAAGTTTTCTTATCTTATTTATGGGATTTTACGGGACACAGATAAATACACAGTTCATTACACTATTTATTAATTGAACAGAATATAACGTTCATGTAGGTGCGTCTGCGGCTCCAAATCGATGTTATCAACAGTGTGAGATTCCCATGAACTTTTTCATCAACCAATAATGTCATCAAAGCATCACTAACTAATATATCATTGCCCTGCTTACCAAGACAGTTTTCAGTTCCAGAATGAAACCGACAAGATCAGTCGACTGATGTAGCCTCTGCAAGAGAGAGAAGAGACATCCTTGAATGGCAAGATAATAAAGTGACACTATTTTTTTTCCTCAAGCCAGCCATTCAAATCAAACAAATGTTTGTGATTAATGGGGGCTGCCACCTCCTTTAATAATTAATGATAGCTTAAAGGCTGCGAAAATAATGAACTTTGCAGCCCGAGGTGAAATATCAATCTCATGCAAATAACCCTGAGGGACCACATAACAAATAGGGACATTTTCCAGGCGGTGTTAATTAAACAGTGAAAAATATTTTTCTCTGCCTCTGAGTGAAGTGTGCTTGATGGGTGCACAGGAACAATGCCACGTATGACACAGTCAACACAAAAGATGTGAAATGACACAGACAAACACAATCAATCACATATTTTTATCAGTATTGTATCTGCATACTGTAGTGCAGTGTTTCCTAACCACTCTGCGTTAGTGTGCCATGAGAGATAACCGGGTATGCCATGGGAAATGATCCAATATCAGTATATTGCTCATAACGTATTAGTTTTACAACTGCAAATAATGCATCTTTGTCCATCTATCTATGCTATTTCTGTTTCGTGACAGGCAAAAACAATTAAATGCTCATCCACTAGATGGCAGAACTATTAACCTGTTATCACTCATACAACAGAAAGATTTCACATGAAGTATATCTCTGAGTAAATTGACACAAGATCGTCATTATTGTTCATTTATTCATGCTTTTCGCGAGATTTTTGCTTGGAGGTATGCCGTGAGAGTTTTCGAATGTAATATATGTGTCTCGGCCCAATAAAGGTTGGGAAATACTGGGGTAAAGTAAGACTATATTACCTGCTTTACAATGTGTTCATATCCATCTAACAGGTGCTTTAACTTCAAACAGCAATGAAACCTATAAAAACACATGAAACATATTTATAGCTACAGCGAAGGATGAAAAAAATGCAATAGTTAATGTATGGGGCTAATTTTTAGACTTGTGCCTTTCTCTTCATTCATCCATCTATTATCTAAACCGCTTTTTCTCACGAGAGTCGCGGTCTGGGCGTGCTGGGCCCTATCGCAGCTGTCTTCAAGCAGTATGCGCAGTACACCTGGTACTAGTTGCCAGCCAATCTCAGGACATACAGAGACGGACAACCATTCACGGTCCCAACCACACCTATGGACAATTTAGAGTGTTCCATTAAGCTACCATGCATGTTTTTGGAATGTGGGAGGAAAGCGGAGAACCCGGAGAAAACCCACGCAGGCACAGGGAGAACATGCAAACTACACACAGGAAGTTGTTTGAGTCTAATTACGTTTATTTTTTTTTATTATTATTATTTTTTTTTAATGAAAACCAACATGTTCAATTATATCAACAACGCATCAGTGATAATTTATACTTGGCCTTTTTGAGTTGACGATCTGGTGGTAGATGTATTCTCAGTCTCAGGTCTGTTTCCTGTTTAAAAAAATGGAAGCTAAATTACATGGTGATGTTTTAAACAAATAATAACAACATGAGTTTGCAAACATGTTCACAAAAACAATTTGCATTTGTATGTTGAAACAATGAGCCCTGAAACGTTTAGTTTTTATTCAACTTGGTTACGAGGTGTTGGGCATTTTTTTGAAAAATAATCTTTAGTCCTATTTTAAAATATTTATATCGTATCAGTGGGCAGTTAATTGGCCATTATATTATTGATTGACAAGAGTGAATATTACAATCATGGGAAAATACATGGTGGGAATAATTTGAAAAGGACATGCCGCCAGATTGATGACCAAAAGAAAGAAAAAAAAAATCGGTCCATGATGCTGTCAAGATGCCAACGTGCCACATACCAACATTGTTGACAGCGATTTTGACAAGTAGCCTTATTGACACTTAAATGATGGTGTATGGTTGACTTCAGTATACAGTACTGTACTGGAAAGAATGTAAACAATCCAAAGGTGAACTCGGGATCAAACTTGAATCCTTTCCGGGGCAGTCCCACGACTATAGTATACACAGTATATTATTTGGGGCCAATGTGCATTGTTCATAAACAAAAAAGAAAACGGACCAGAACCAATGAGAAACATGGTTGTGTAATCATAAAAGTCCATCATATAGGTGACACAAAGTGGCTGCACGTAAAATGCCCTCAAAATATAACGCAATCCTAATGTATGAATAGACAAATATTGACGTGCGTTACGATGTGTGAGCCGAGCCAAGGTCTAAAATAATTTTGGGTACCTCTGTTCTGTCGTCACTCGAACAACCTGCTGACATTCACGTACCTGGACAGTGATGAACCCATCATAGACCGTTTTCTCGACGTTGAGGGGTAAGAGAATTGGGTTGTCTTTTACCAACATAGACGCCATCACCATCAAGCTAATTTCGAAACCACCGTAAAACTTCGAGACTTTCTATTGCTAACGCTAGCAGTGGCACGAACGCCAAGGACCTGCTTTGTCAGTTGCCTGGACTTGACCCTTAAATGACTAATACTTTATCTTTTGTTTTTAAATAAAACAAACTTCACGCGAAACACGGTTATACTACAGTAGCTAGTCATCTTAGAAGTGAAGGACGTACCCTCTGTCTCCCGCCATGATCATCTAAACAAGAAAACGTCACGGAGGTGCGTTCAGGAACTCGATGGAAATCTTGTTCATGGAATGACTTCGACTTTCACATTGTCCTCAGTACTTTAACGTAAGAAATACACGACATCATCTGTTTTAGCTCTAACCACTTCATGAAGGAAGCATTTAACTTTCTGTGCAAGTTGTTGAACATTGTTTTTGTAGCTTGCAGGAGCCTATCCCAGCTGTCTTCCGACAGCAGGCGGAGTACACCCTGAACTGGTCACCAGCCAATCGCCGGGCACACACGAACAACCATCCGCACTCACACTCAGGGTCACACTTAGGAACAATTTAGAGTGTTCCATTAACCTGCCACGCATGTTTTTGAAATGCGGGAGGAAACCGGAGAACCCGGAGAAAACCCACACTGGCACTGGGAGAATGGGGAGAGGAAATGTGTTTTGACAAGGTACAAAATGCTAATTTTGGTTCGCAAAGTGTGATGAGAAACCATTTACTTCGAGTCTTGGCTGGTACTACCATCATAGTAACCAATGAAACAGGTATTGCTCAGAGCCTTTGGGCTGACTTCAGGTCAGGACCAGCCATTTCACTTTAGCAAAACAAGACCTGTATAGAAAAGTTCTGTGTTATAATACCCTTAAAAATTAAGATTTATTTACATAATGTCAGATCAATGCAAAAAAAAACAAAAACAGAATATAGTTGACAGCTGTTTTTTGTTTTTAAATATCAGTTCAGAGCTAAAGAATCCATGAAATGTATACATTGCAGCTTAATTTTTATAATTAACATAATTATTGCATGCATCAAACAATATACTGTATACAATAAGTTGCCTGAATTAGGTTGGCAAAAACTGACACCATATCCTTCAGCCTTACACTCAACATCGTTTATCCTTCCATATGTATCAAATTGTCCCTGCATGTGGCAAATTTTTCAACTATACAATGGTTTTACTACAGCACACCTCCACTATGCTTTTTAGCTCATATTCCACCCGGAATGTGTAAGATGAGAATTGTGTCAATGTACTGTACAAAGCCAGTGAGAGATGTGCTTCAATGCATGCTTGCCACACACAATGTGCCTAGAGAGATTGATGTTTTTGTCATCCACCTGCTTCAAAGCTGCAACAAACAGCCGGCTGATGCAAACACAAGAACCTAGCTATTCAGCTCACAAACAAAAGAGAGAGAACCTCACAGCCCCTTCTTGCACATCTGTTTTGGAGGAATATATCAGCTGTTGTGGTGCACACTGGGCTCTAATGATCCTGAATGTTGTGTCTGTGATTGGGTAAGTTGCATATTTTTATTTTTATTTATTTTTTGGTCTCTTTAGGGAAATTGGAACAACCAAAGGATTTATTTTAAAGGACGAAATGTAGCCGTAGGGGAAGCAGCAGTATTTTCCCCTCCCTCTTCTTTCTCAGCCTTTCTCTGTGGCTCATTCTTTGGAAAGAAAATCTACAAGCATGCAGCATGACTGGCTTTCATGGCATTCCGGTGGCAAAAACTGCATCAAAATGTTAGCAAGAGAGGATAGAAGAAGAGAGGCAGATGCATATAGGCGGTGAGATCTCTGTTGTCGTCTGTCTTGGTCTGCTTCTCCTTCTCTGCCTCGAAGTCTGACTGCTCTCACATCCTCTGTCTCCACTGCTGGGCTCCGTCTACGTGAGGGATGATCTATGGTGCTTTGTTTATCACTGGCCATGGTCACTTCTCTGGAATGCAATTGGCTGGAACTACACCGTGTGGGTCCTGCACCCTTCGTCTCTCTCTCTCTCTCTCTCTCTCTCTCTCTCTCTCTCTCTCTCTTTCTTCCCCCCCAACCTTCGTTGTCTCCCTGTTTCGCTGGATTTTGAAAAGAACTGGGGTGTCCGAAAAGTCTTTATCCCTTGCAGTCCTTTTTTGTCATGGTGTTTTGCATGTGAATGTTAATGGCACGTGTTGTTCCCAGGACTGTTGATCGATTGTATAGATAGATTTGAATAGATTTAATAATTTGTGCGTACACAATCATGTATTCCCTTATTCTTGTTTTGCTGCAAAATTTTGAGTTAGCACCCTCATCTTTTGACAGTAATAGTATTTTTACAACCAAAATCTTAAGATGATGAAGTTTGTGTTTCCACATTTTTAATCATATTGAAGGAAATGGACAACCTGAAGCCCACTTTATGGATGAAATGTGCTATCTAAATAAAGCTACCTTGCTTTACCTTATAGAATTCTATTGTTTGAGTCAGACACATTTATTATATTGTAGTGTTTCCGTCAAACACCCCAGACTGCAGAACTCTCTCTCTCTCTCTCTCTCTCTCTCTCTCTCTCTCTCTCTCTCTCTCTCTCTCTCTCTCTCTTTTCTGTTTCCAAAATTAGAGTGAATTAGGGATAAAATCAAACATAAACGCAAATTCTGTTTTCACCCACTTCTTGTCTATTACCCACTATTGTCAATTTGAACTTTACCTTAATCAAAAGTTGAACTCCCTAATAAATGCACTGGTCGCCTGGTGGAACACATTGGGAACTCTGTCCATGCTTCGCTCTTGATTTATGCAAATTGAGTGAAGCAGCCATCAAGTGTTTCGAAGAATGTTTAGCTGTGTGTGTCCATGTATGTATGTGCTTGTGTTTGGGTGCGTGTTTATTTATGCGCATATGCGTTAGTGTGCATGTATATGTGTGTTTCTAGATAAGCGGGAGGACAGTGTGTGAGGTTTTAGCTATGGATTACAGGTCTCTTAGAAAGGTTTCTATCCAGACTGCTGACTGACAAGAGTTGATGGGATTACAGGCAGCATGTGTCTGCCCTAGCCCCCCACACCTCTTCCAATCGGTGACCGGGGGCATTAGATGGAAAGTTACTTTTGGTGTGCGTGTGTCTTGGTGTGAATTTGCTTTACACTACAAATAAAATTTTGAAAGTAACACCAACTGTATGACATATTAAACATATCATTTTTAAGATTAACAAAACATACAAAATCAGAAATAGGGATACAGTACATTGGAGACGGTTTCTATTGCCCAAATTACAATTTGAATTTAATCTACGCCATTGGTCTACTTAATGGAATCTGAGGTATTTGTACATTTTGCAGGGCTAGAAGGAAGCTGGTACCTTCCCAGATTGTTACTAACTAAATTGCAGCATCTGTGATCATTCTGTTATTCTGAAACATTTAAAATGTTGAGTGTTGATTGGGAAAAAAAAGAAATCTGTTAAAACAAAAACCAAAAAATTGTTACTTCCTCAATGATTTCTCAGATTAATTCATTGTAGGTTGTAAAACTACTGTAAATGTTTACCTTTTTGTAGTCATCATTAGGCATGTCATGGTCCGATCATGTGTTTGGAAATCAGGACCGATCACGTGGTTTTCAGCTGATTGCGGATATGGGGGAGAAAGTTCGTTTTTCTTCATATTCTGACATTTTATTTATATGGGGGGGGGGGGGCGGTCAGATTGAGAGGAAGATCCACACGCATGCACAGTGCTTTTCCATCCGCTTCAAAACATAGATTTTTGGAGTAAAAAGGTGACCAAAAAAAAAAAAAACAACGTGTAAAATTGGGTAAGCCAAAATGTACTTAAATAATCTGCCTTCCCTGACATACAGCAACGTCGCCTCACTAAACGGCATAAAGTTTGAGAGAGCGACAGATAGATTAGCAATTGTGACATGTCCAAACAACATAACTTCAAAGAGAAATTTAAGAAATGTAAATTATTTGGTTACAAGCAAGCTTGTTCCCCATTGGTTGCAATTAACGAGGTCATAAATCAATAGTGTCGTTTTTTTAGTTGAGAGAAGGCAAGCAGGTACCCACCGACTACTTAGCTGCGTCCACTTGTCGTTCGAGCCTGCGCACGCTAATAAATAACAATGTAATGTATTTTTTATCATTAGATAAATCAAATGCAACAGAGGAATCAATCATTCTATGTTAATGCTTATACGTACAGTCCATTCCATAAATTGGTGCCATTTGCATCCCCAGGAAATAAAATGTATAGATGCACAAAACAATGACATGAAAATACACTTTTTTTTAAAGCGTCCTCCACATTAACATGTTGTGTGCTTGATGTAGGCCTTCTATTAATCTAAATGTCTTGGCAATACTCTATTTGCTAATTTTATGCTAAAAACCCATAAAGAATTTCAGTAAAAAAGTAATGACATAAAATAAAACATTCCTAATATTGACCAATACACATTTTGCATTGTTCAATGCATGCATGTGTATCATCAAATTTGGAGCTAAAGAAAAAGAAAAAAAGAGAGAACTTGAGTTTATTTTGAGGGTGTTACAAAAAGGAATTAGCAATGATTTGGTGGATTGTCCCATATTATGTCAATGTAAATCCAAATACAATAAGATGTATAAAAATGTATGTACCGTATTTCTATATACATGTCTGTATGTAAATTTTTATACTAATTTGGGACCCTTTGTATGCGTGCTCTTTGTTTTAATGTATGCTGTGGTATCAGATATGGACAGATCCTTAAAACCAAGACTCATGTGCCAAAAAAGTGTGCTCGGGAAATCCCTCGTCATCATCATTTCAGTTTAAAATTCATAGGGTCACATTATTTGGTTACTTGGGGCCAGTGGAGAAAGAAAATATGTTTTAAAAAATTTTGAGCATGACTTAGAAGGACACGTTACGGGGCCGACCGCAAGTATTCTTGTTTGATTATATTGACCTACCTAGTTAACTTATTTAATCATCTCACATTTTAAAAGAGTAGGACAAGCATACAACATAAGTACACTTGAATGTGCGTGAAGTGAGCTTGTCGGCCACCTAGAAATGACCGTATGCTTGTTATTGTTCCCTCGTGCTTTATTAGCAAATGGTGGCATCATCTGTTTTAGACAATGACAAAATCATATCAGCCGGGTAAATCTATTAAGTGAATCGAGAGCACATGCCTTCCACAATCTGTCTTTGACTCTTCCTTCACGTCCCTTTTGTTTTCTGTGTCTCCGGCATGCCATTGGTTAGCTTGCTTATCACAT